ATTTTAGCGACAACTTATAACTTGGTTTTTGGCAACACTCGCCTATTGCAAGAATAAATTTTTACAATAGGCTAGCATTGTAAAAATAAAAACAATTGTTAAATACCAAGTTTTTAATATTAATTATTGCAACACTCATATACTGTACAAAATATTTTTTACAATACTTATGTATTGCAATAATTAAAACAACAATGACTTTTTATCGCATTTATCCTTGTCGTGTATTGAAAAAATTGCTAAAATTACATTAGACAAGTAATTTAACATTTGAATTTTTACAATACCCGAGTATTGTAATAAATGTGGTAGACCTGTGTTGCATAAAATAATTCCCCCATAATTCCCTAAACAAAATTGGAACAACACTTATGTTGGCAATGGTGATAATCGACCATCTTGTTAAAAATGGTAAACATAACCTTACTATTTCTGTTTTGTAAACAACGTGCGATATTGAGGTTAGCTAGGAAAACTGCGAACTAAAAATGGTTAAAATACTATGAAAGTGTTGTGGTCAGAGGTGCAGTGATAAAACTTCGCCAGGGTAAGTACCTTTTACGTGATTATCTACAATGTTTGTTCGTTTGCCTGTTCAAATCAGAAAAACTTATAATGGAATATATATAAATTTGTAAATTTTGGTTTTTATAAGGTGCCTTTATGCATAGATATCTAGGCCTTTATGATCGGTGGTTTCTATAAACACATAAAAACGAAGCTAATATAAGCTTTTATTTATAGGTTTGCCAATGGCAAATGCCATATCATGATTGTTGCAACAAACAAAGTTGTTGGACACAAAGAGTCTTCATGGGTTGAGTGAATAAAAAATGGGAAGCTGATGGCCCAAGAAGAAGAGGAATCAGGACCCCTACAAAGGTATACCTTTCCAACATGTATGATCATTCATCAATAGCTTCTTCACTCAACGGTGTTACTTAATGTTATGTTCTTATTCTTGGGCTAATTTTATCTCCAAAAGCTTGGTTTTTAATATCTTTTTGTTTTGGTTTTTATCAAAAATTTCAAAAACTGTTTAGAATATTACATAAAATTTTAGGATGGTATTTTAATAATACAATATGGTATGAAACAAAATTTTTAACCAAAAAAGTAGTTTTTATTTAACCAGTGTAATTATTATGAATAATTTCTAATTTTGAATTTTAAATAGAAAATAGGACAGTAATTTATGTTCAATTTATTTTTAGATTATAATGAACCCCCATCATAACATTGCTATTTTCTCTCTAAAACCACACATGGCTCTGGAAAAAGTGAAAAATTGTATTAAAAGAATTAATACCATAATTTTTTTATACATATATTTTTTATGGAAATTTTCAAAAACCTGCCTGTTAGAGATGTAAGAGCTGTTCCCTTAACACTCAAAGATGGTAGTCCAGTTTTGAAAGTTAAGAAAATCAAAAAAGTAAACAAAAGAGAAGAGTTTCCTGTTGTCCTTGCCTACAAATCACAGATTCTGTGTGTTAAAGTTATGCGATAATAAACTAAACACCCTGTATAATAAATTTAAAAAAATAGGTTCAGCCACAAAGGGTTAAAATTTAACCGTTAAATAATGTATTGTTATTCTTTAGTTAATTGTTAATGTTCTATAATTTTACTACTTGTTTTTTATCACTTTTATAGAATAAACCATATAATTAACTGTTAAATAATTTATTGTTATGGTTTTTATTTGTTAATAATCCATTTTCAAACCACATTTGCTATAAATAATTATATTAAAATTAATTTAAATTTCCTGGGTAGATATGTATACTTGAAAATTTACAGAATTCTATTGAAGGGCGTTTTACTATTTAAACTCTCTTTTAAAGCAATGTTAAAAACCAATAACTGAATAATTTAAGTATTCTAACATTTCCAAATTAATAACAACAATTTATAAACTTTTTTATTACAAATAAATTGGTTTAAAAATCATTGGTAATAAAAAAAATTATTTAATTATTAAATTACTGTGTATGACTTTTATAATTAAATTAAGTAGGTATATTTTAATGGTCAAAAAGTAAATTTTTCCGGAAATAATGAAATAATAACAAATAAATATTTATTAAAAATTAAGTACCTACTTAATACATACACTTTGTATTTTTGTGTTTAATAAAAACCTAGATATCCAATTTATTAGTTTTTCTTATTAGCGTATTTAATGGTTCTTAAAAAAGGGGGAAAAATTAATTTGTGACTACGTAATGTAGTCTACGAAGTCTATGTTCACCAGGTTTTGCGACTTCGCAAATCATGTTAATTTGGTTAAAAGTATTTGTACTATCATTGCAGTTGTTCCAGATAAAAATATTAAGAATTTTTTGGTATCTATAGGTATTGTCGAACCTACTAGTTCTTACATGGATATTATCTTCATGATAATTTTTGTTAAGGGTAATTGAGCCAGCTAAAATTATTATTAACTGATGCCTAAAAACTTGCAGGAAAATCATTAAATTAGACCTTGTCTCAAGGCTGGTCCTTGTGTAGTTATGTAATATAACATACAGCAAGCATAAGTGTGATATTGTATAATAAGTATATTTTGTTAGTATATCTGTACAGATTGTTTTATCACTACACCTCTGACCACAACACTTTCGTAGTCTTTTAACCATTTTTAGTTCGCAGTTTTCCTAGCTAACCTCAATATCGCACGTTGTCTACAAAACGGAAATAGTAAGGTTTTGTTTACCATTTGGTCGATTATCAGCATTGCCAACATAAGTGTTGTTCCAATTTTGTTTAGGGAATTATGGGGGAATTATTTTATGCAACACAGGTCTACCACATTTATTACAATACTCGGGTATTGTAAAAATTCAAATGTGTTTTTAGCAATTGTTTCAATATACGACAATGAAAATTGTAATAAATAATCATAGTTGTTTTAATTATAGCAATACATAAGTGTTGCAAAAAATATTTTATACAATATATGAGTGTTGCAATAATTAATCTTAAAATATTGGTATTTGAACAATTGTTTTAATTTTTACAATACCTGCCTATTGTAAGAATTAATTCTTGCAATAGTCGAGTTTTACCAAAACCAAGTTATAAGTTGTCGCTAAAATTTTATTTAATTTTTGCATTAGAGAACACATCTATTTTTGTAGACTTTCTTTGTTTAAATTAATTTTTGGAGTTTCGTTAAATATCTGATACATTTATTAAATGAATTGTCAAAATAACTTTCTTGCTCTTAAAGTGTTGCGTTAATTTTTGCAACATATATAACGATATATTTAAAAACAAGCAGACTATTGTAAAAATTAACGTTACATTAAAACATTTACCATAAAGTTGTTCAATTTAAATTAAATAGCAAAACGGCGCGCCATAGACTTGGGTGTTTTTGCGTTTATTCAAGAGTGGCACTTCTATGTGTTGTGTGTTTGGTGATAGCAGTCTGTGTTCGATAGTTAAGGTTGATTTAGCCTGGCTTTTAAATTAAATTACGTTACGTTAGATTACATTACACAAAATGCTGGCTAAATCCACATTTAGATAGTGTTAATTTCTCTGTTTGTTTTAAGGTATTTCTGAAATTTTAATATTAAACTAATTACAATAAACCAGCAGTACGTCTAACATACAAATACAGAAAATTAAAGTTGAATTAATTTTTTTTAAATACTTACTATTAGTAAGTATTTAAAAAAAATTAATTCAACTTTAATTTTCTGTATTTGTATGTTAGACGTACTGCTGGTTTATTGTAATTAGTTTAATATTAAAATTTAAATGACATCTTGCAGAAAAACGCACTTATAAGTCCTAACACTTTTTATTTACATTATATTTGTTATGTTTGTATGTTATTTATGTTTTATATGTATTTTTTAATGATAAAAAGTATTCTAATTCATAGGGAATAATTAGGTTATAATGCTCGGGCGCCCTTAAGCTAACAGTTTGGGGTGGCTCTAATAAGCTTTTTTAAAATTTTCCCCGGGCCCCGTAAGTATAGTATCTAGTTAGAGGAGCCAAATTTTTAAGTGCCTAAGGCGCTCAATTGCCTTAAGCCGGCTCTGAGCCATGGAAAGTAATAATTTGATACTAACTAGTGTTTATGACCGTTAAATAAATAATTAAAACAATTTTTGGAAATTAAAAATCAATTATAATTTATTAAATTAGGGAAATGGTATAAAACAATAATAAAATAAATAAATTAGAAATGCGAATTTTGCTATGAAAATCGGTATACGGGGTTAGAATAATATTCTGAACAACTTTTTCTAATAATTTTTTTCGATATTTCTAACGCGAAGCAAAATATCGACAACTGGCCCCGTTTGTGAATTCGTAGTAGGCCAAGTTTAAAGTTCAGATTTCAGTTGAGTATCTTAAAAAATGTGACCAACCAACATGTATGAATGTGAAAAAATTCAAATCTCTATTCCTTGAAATAGCGAAAATTTGGGGGTGTCTTCATCTTAAATGCGACACACTGTATGTATATATTATGTCGCTCTATACAAATATTTAATGTTAATTTGGTGTAAAAAAAGTATGGTATGCAACTCGTTTATAAACTTTTCAGACACTCATTTAATTAAACACTAGCTCGTGCCTAATTAAAATTCGTGACTACAATCGCGTTTATCAAACTTGATACCTATATAATAAAATTATATTATTATTTAATTTTTATACCAATATTGCAATTATACAATGTAATTCATTTAAATTCCATAATCCAATGACAACAAAGGGGTTCCATATAATAGGTGTTTTCGCGGTGCTAATCCTGAAGTAGTTCGGACATCCTAGGCATGCGCATTTTAATATTTGTCATGCGCACTTTACATTTTTAACCCCAAATTTTAAAAAGCGCATGCCTAGGATGTCCGGGATTGGTTCGGGATTAGCTCCGCGAAAATAGCTAATAACTTATTATAATTAAGCAGGTTTTATATTACCATCTTCCATTTATTTTTCGACAAAAAATAACAAAGCTCATTTTTTAGGAAACACAGGAGTTTGTTGATTTTATCACAGCAATTAATGATAATCACCATAAAATATCTAGGAATGATATTGTGGTATTTTATAAAACTGCTAAGAAATCCAATGATTTGGACGAATTGTTTGAAAACTTTTTGGATGTGAAATCAGGTAAAATCTAAAACTAATAGTTTAACACTAAGTTCATGCAAATAATGTTGTTCTTTTACTTAGAGTTAGAAAACGAAATAATATCGAGTTTGACCGAATGGTATGCTCAATTTGTACACCTAAAAGAAGAAGAAAAACGCGTTTATAGCAAATGGAGACTGTCAAAAATAAAACAAAAACAGAACAAAGAAAACGCGTTTAAAAGAATCGACAATCAGCTGGATTTGGTTACACTTAAAGAAAACCTAATAGACTGGAAAGTAATTTTAAATATTTTTATACAGTGTGTCCTGAAAATGAAGTACTTTGTCTCTTTTTAATTTTCAAGAATTAAAAGACATTTTGACTTACATACCCATTTCTACTTACTAAAGTGGGCAAGAGGGATCGTTAAGTGATAAAACGATCTAAAAACCTGTTGGTATCACAAAATTTAACTTAAAATGTCAAAAAATTTACTTAGTCCCTTTTAATATCAAGGGATTCAATACTTATTATAACCCTATGGGTAGGTATGTCACTGACAGTCAGATGGCGTAACTAAGCAAGTGTGCGCCCCACTGTGGTCCAGAAATTTCCTAAACATTGAAAAAGTTAATTTTTAATAATTAGTTTTCTTGTGCTTAAAACGGTCAAGTAGGCCATTAAGCTTACAAAAAACAAGAAATATGCCTGCGAGTTCTTATTAAGTCGGTAAATTTAATTCTTATTATCTGGGTTATTTTGTTTAAACAAATCGCTTAAGTTTAAGACATATAGTTAAAGCTGAATTAACTTTTTGACATACACTACGAGTGGGCCAGATGCAGGTAAGTTCAAGGTTTTATACCTTTGCGAAAAAAAAAATGATTTACAGAACGCATGTAAAAGCAAAAATTAAAATCTCACAAGGATATTTCACCAGAGATATTTCAAGATCTACACTGAACTACACGTTTTTTAAGCTCTTAAACCTCTTCAGTACTCATCTTTATCGAAAAAAAACTTTTGCCAAATTTTGCCTATCCAGGAGAAAACGCAAGATTTTCTGTATGGTAATTTACAATTTGATTTAAAATAGAGCTTATCGGGTATTATTTGAAAGGTTATTAGGCCTAGATTGTAAAAAACTTATTTGAATATGTCTTCTGTCATTTTGAAAGTTTAAAATGTCATATTTAAAGGCAATTTTAGTGGTTTTTTAATTTTTTTCAAGTTCAGTCGTTTGAGCTGTGGTGCCTATAAATTGGCAGAGTAATTTTTAAATACCCTGAGAACAAGAAACATTTATTATTAAAATATCAAAATAGTGCGCGATTTTATTAAAGAATATTTTATTAGAAATAAAAAATAAATTTATTATTAAAAAATCGCCTTTTAACTTTGTTAATGCGCACTCGGCCTGACGGCCTTGTGAGCAACTTAAACACTCGCATGAAAAAGTCGCTTTTCAACACTTGTAAAACAAATAACCATTAACTCATCCGCCACTATAGTGTATACACATCCGTTATTTTAAGATAATTTATTTTTAAATCTTTAAATATGTTTTATAATTATTATGATTGTAAAACGGAGTACCTAATTACGTTAGTTATGTGAATAATGTTCTACTGTTATGTTTATGATATATTTAATAGGAACGAAAAAAAGAAAAGACCTGCTTTTTTTAAACTACCTATACATTTTAATGTATATTAAGGCTAGTATAATCTGTTTATATGGTATATTTACCTACCTTTAAATTTATTAGAAAGATAACTGTTGAATTTACAATTGTTGACATAATTGTAACTATAACAATTGAGGAGCATCCGTGCAAAACCGGCTATATCCACTTTAATAAAATGTTGGGAAAATGGCATAAACTCTCGGTTTCCTGGCCTTTACAGATAAAAGAAAAAGCAAACTTGAGTTTTGTGGGCTTGTGGAACTTGATTTATAAGACATACTTTCGTTTTCAAAAACTTTATATAAGGCCAAAATTTTAAAAAATGTTTTGTTCAAAAACCGAATAAAATGTGAAAAAAAACCTTTATTATTCAAAAATATTAACAAAATAAATTTAGTGCAAACATGAAAAAACAGAACAAATTTTAGTAGTAGTATCGACATATTCAAGTCACATGCTCATCATCATTATTATTTATTGGATATAGCCGGGTTTGCTATAAAAACGTGGATTTGGCCGGTTTTGCTCCTAAAGCTACCTTTTAAATGTGATTTTAACATGGATATAGTCGGATTTAAACAGAATTATCTTGGTTGACGATAGAAATGAACCCAAAGATGCGAAATCAAAAGAAAAACAAAAACTGAATAAAATGGATTTAGCCGGTTTTGCACGGATGCTTCTCAATTAAGCATTACGTAAATTTATTGAAGTGAATATACTGGGCATGGAACCTACACAAGGAGTCCGAACTTCATGTATATAAAAATCTTTCTAAGATAAGAGAGCGCTGGTGTTCCATTTATTAATAAATAAATAAATAAATAAATATCTTTATTGACGGATTAACCATTAGATGTAAACAAAAATAATCATTACAATTTTACATTAAAGACCTTTTGAAGGACTGGAGAGTATTGCCAAAGAAATCTACATTTAAAGTATTTGCATTTCTGCACATCCTATGTAATGGTGCATAATAACCATAGTTTGTATTGTGGTGACATATATAAAAAAGATTTTTATTTCTTAGTCTTAACTGAGGCACTTGAAAATTAATTCTGCCAAGCAATTCAGGGCTATCCATAATCCCATTTAAAAGTTTAAATAGGAAATGCATATCAAATTTATCCCTTCTTTTGCTTAGGGTATCAACATTAATCAAGTGTCTCAATTGTACATAATCATAGTCATCAATAATTAAATTTAATTTAAATGCACAAAATCTTAAAAATTTATTTTGTACTCTTTCGATTTGCATACAATAAGTTAAGTAGTGAGGAGACCATACTACACAACCATATTCCAAAATACTTCGAACAAATGAAAAATACACATTTTTTATACACATCACATCATTAAAATCTTTTAAGTTCCGTTTAACAAAACCTAACATTTTTAAAGCTCTATTACTTATAATATTTATATGTTCGTTAAATGTAACCTTAGAATCAAAATAAACACCCAGATCCTTAATTACATTTACATTTTCTAAAATAACATCATTAATACTATAAGAAAAATTTATTTTATTTTTTATCCTAAAAAAATTTATTACTTTGCATTTGCTAATATTTAAAGACATACAATTATCACTGCACCAAGATTCTAAATTCTTAATATCCACTTGACATTATACTATAGGGTAAACAAATTATAAAAGAAACCCAACACTGACTGAAACTCTTATAAATTAATAGTTATATATCTAAATATACTGTTATTTCGCCGTATTTAACTACCATATGTTAATAGTAATTTCTTAATAACAAATGTTGCTTTCTCTCAGTGTAAAAACGTTGGGACTTGTGTATAAAATGCATGAATCAATTTTTTTCTCCGATATTTATAGAGCGAAAGGTCCACAGGATTCAGGTCAGAACCTTATTTTATGGTGGGATGAAACAAAATGAAATAAAATAAACTCTTTTGACTACGGTGTGCCAAAAGTGTTGCCAGCAAAATCAAAAAACAATACAAGATTTAGCTAAGAGTTACTCTATTCAGTTCCGTAGATGGGTCGCAGTAAATATAACTAAGAATGTTTTTTTGAGCAAAAATGAAAATTGGTTGAAGAAGTTTTTGTTGTTGAACTGCATTTCTGGCAAACCTCCTGATCGTGTTGGAAGACCAAAATTAGAATTTGAGCAGTAATATTCCAAACGAACCTAAGAGCCTTGCAAGGCTTTGACAGTGGATGCTAGATTATCTAAAAGACAGTATCAAGAGTTGAGGAATATAGCAAAGGAAAATAACTCTATCCTTCATATAAACAAATTAGAGAAGCCAAAGTTTTTACAGCCACTGACCATTCTGCCTCCGTGAAACTTCAGTCATTACTTGATCATACGACTTAAAGATTACTTTTAACTCTAGAATTGGATGGTTTTAAAAGCTTTAAGAAACTTCTCATCAATTATGGATGGTAGTTCTGGACAAAAAGAGGACAGGCAGGCTTTTGAAAGTAATTATTCGTAGGTAATATCATAAGGGCATTTAATTTTTCCGAAAAGAATCGAAAAAACACGTTGCTAAGTAATATTTTAACAAAAAGCATGAGTGCTGGTGGCAACAAAAATCCGAGTCGAAGAGGAGGATTTTTGCACCTGCACGAATGCATTTTGTTAAAAAATATTACTTAGCATTGTGTTTTTTCGATTTTTTTCACAGGAAAAATTAGATGCCCGAATGGTATTTGACAAGACTATTTCATGAGTAACAGTTAACAATTAAAATATAAATTGCAATTTTTGGTGACAACAGCTGTCAAGTTTTGCCGCGGGTAAACTCGAATAAACTGCTGACAGGTGCTGTCACACAGTTTTTTCACCTAGAAACCATTTGTAATTCAAAATTGCGCATTTGTGATTGGTGGAAATTTAGACGAGGGAAATAGTCAGATAAAAATTTACTTTTGACATGTTTGGTTACAATCGGAATAAAAAAAAATGAAGGCCATTGTACAATCAGCACTCATGCCAATAGGACAGTTTTCCAAAGAAGCCCAAAAGGCACGCAAGAAGGAATACAGGAGGTATAGGGAACACCACTACCGAAAATTTAACAGAGTTGCCATAAATATTGATGTCCTTAATTAAATGCTTGTTTCATTTGATCTAAAATTACTAGTTTAAGAAAATTTTGCCCAGAGGCACTAAAATTATTGCAGCCAGCTGCAATAAATGATTGTTTTAACAGCGATACAAGCTCCTAAAGTGATTCCGACTAAGAAAGTTGGGCAACTAAAGCTTATTTTTCCTTGTTTACTTAAATGATTTTTTTCTGTTATTGCCGTTCTATAGTTGTTATTAAAAACTTTTATTTAAAGTATAGCCTTTTAAATAAATTTTTCGCATAACTCAACTTTTTCAATCTTATACCTTCGGCTTTGTTTCGATTACCTGTACATGTTTTTGCGGCCATAAGATGTCTATGAAAATCTATATTATTTTTTAAAAACTGTTAAAAAATAAATAATTTTTATTTGAAAGGTTTATAAACCTTTATAAACCACTAGGGAAATTGTAAAACTTATTGAAGATCTTGTGTTTGTAATAGAAGATGTCAAAATGGAAATAATGTCACAAATACAACTTTAAGAGCCTATATATCTCGTAAAATCTAATATATTAGATTTTACGAGATATATAGGCTCTTAAAGTTGTATTTGTGACATTATTTCCATTTTGACATCTTCTATTACAAACACAAGATCTTCAATAAGTTTTACAATTTCCCTAGTGGGTAAAGTTTGCAAAATAGCAAAATATCGTTAAATTTTACTCTGGTCCCACAATCTTTCGTTGTCTGGGCAGCTGGGTATAAGTGAAATTAACTTATTTTTCTTTGTTTTTAATAATTAAACGATAAAATTTGATACATTTCTTGAGTTTTATATTTTTCAATGTTTTACAAAATCCTGGCCCACAGTGCGCCCCCGCGGCATTTTGATGGCGCCTATGGGCATCAAAATATCAATATATATTATATAGGGAATTCCACGCCAAATCAACCACTTTTGAGGTTTTTTTTTATCTTTTTCCACCTCACTAAAAAAGTTTCTCAGATTTTTTTTTACCAATCAAAAAAGTTTTTTCAAATACCCAAAACTTTAAAAAAAAAAATTGTTGTTTAATGTACCTACTTTGCAGAAAAAAATTTCAGTTTTCTAATAATTCTGCGAATAATTTTGCTAAATCCATAGTGGGCCAACTTTTCTTTCTGTTTTATTTTAATTGAAAATTTATTTTTTCCCAATTGTTCATTTATTTTTATGAGTATGCGTATGAGTATAAGAGTCGTATAACCATTGCCTCATCTCTCTCGAGCCTTGCACAAGCCTCCGTCACCGTACGCCAATTTTTTTCCTGCAACCACCAACTGCACGGCTTTGCCCGTGTTTGCTGGATGCGAATGTCCACCGCGTCCGGTACTGTACCGCTCTAGAGCGACATGCGAATAGTTTGAATAGCCTTTTCCGGATTCGCCGGGCCGTTGCTATACGCTCATTAGGGACAAAAGAAGGTGATGGCGGGGACATTTTGGTTTTTGGTGGACAATTACGCCGACTCAAATATGCGTACGACGCGGAATCCCCCTAGATCGGGAAATTAGTAATACTCCTAACATTTAAGATTACTATTTGAAGTTGGGGAGTTGTTAGTTAGCTGTAGGGACTTGTCTTCCTTGTCGTCCACATTTAGTGTGCCTATTAAGTTCTTGTCGAGTTGCGCGTTTACCTCTAATTCTTGTTTGTTAATTGCGTTATAGTGTATTTTCCATTACCGATTATTCTAGTGTTTACGTTTGTGTCGATCGTGGTAGGACTGTTCCTACCAGTCGTAGTGGTTATGGATACCTAATGTACCAAGTCTGTGGCATATTGCTACTGTGGGGTAATTTTCGTTCTGTCTGGTACGAATCTTGTCTTTCCCGCCCTGTTCGTGGTATTTTCAGTTGCGACGTTGAATACGTCTGAGGTGGCTAGTATTGTTTCTACTCCTACCCAAAAGCCGTTTTTGCCATAGTCGTTTAGAGTACGTATAGACTTGTCCTATTTTGTCAGTTATGTGTTCGTTTATTGTATAATATATGGTAAGATTATAAATTAAGTGAAAAATTTCATCATATAAGAAAATAAATAAACAATTGGTCAGTCACGTTCGAACACTTGACGAAGTAGGTCGTATCGTATCGTATCGAGATCTCGCTTAAACCATACAAGCGAAAATCCACAAATAATTACTCATAAAGTGCAAATAAACTAAAGTGCTCGCTTATATTATAATAGCTATATTCGCGGAGCTAATCCTGAACTAATTCCGGACATCCTAGGCATGCGCTTTTTTAAATTTGGCGTTAAAATTGTAAAGTGCGCATGACAAATATTAAAATGCGCATGCCTAGGATGACCGAACTAGTTCGGGATTAGCAACGCGAAAACACCTAATGTTAATAAAGGGTGGACCAACTAATGGTTTCTTTTTAAAATTGATATTGCTTAACCAAACCGTTGAATAATTTTAAATAAATATTACCTTATTCAAGAAAGTACACCTGCTTCAGCCTATTTATTGAAAACAGTTTCAGGTAATGACCGCCGCGGCTAACTTGGCAGTAGTCCATTCTTCACACCATTTTAACAGTACATTATTTATTGTTTGTTGCTCTATTTGACAAATAGCTCAGTGCGTCAATTGTTTGTGGATTGTTGGAGTAACAACGTTTCTTAACACATCCCCACAAAATAGTCCAACGGCAAAAAATCGCAGCCGCGCGATATGAAAATATGATATTGAGCTTCGTCTAAAAAGATAATTTTGCGAATAAAATCGACGTCATTTTCAATCTGATTTGAAGGTCATACAGTGAAGCGATAACGAAGCGGATGGTCATTTTCCTTCAACTCTTTAGCGAGTTTTACCTTATAAGCAAATAATCCGAGGTCCTTATGCAAAACTTTTGACGAGCTATTCGTCAAATATAGCCACAAAAAATCGAACATGTACTGCAAAAGTTGGGTGAAGAGTAGGCCTACCCGGGTAGTTTAAAAAAAACTTTTTTTGCATTTTTTTCTCAAAACCATTCTCAAAAGTTTCGTATAGATATAAAATTGAGCCTGTGAAAAAATGAGCTCTTAATTTCAAAATTAAGATGCTCCGCATCGCACTTTTCGATTTTCCATAAGAATAACATAGGAAAAATTATTTTTGTTTCTTTTTATTTTTGTAACTAATGAATGATGGGTCGTACTGTAAAGTTCTTGACATATTTTTGAAGAGAATTGACCGCTCTACAAAAAAGGTTTCTTATGATTTTTTGATAAATTTAAACCTTCTAGAGAAATTTAAGGTCAAAGTTCAAATAATACGAAATTTTTGAGGTTTTTAACTTTTTTTGGCGAGTCTACCCGACTCATTTAGAAAATTGAAGAATTGAACGCTCTACAAAAAAGGTCTAGAGTCATTTTTCCGTAAGTTAACTTGGTTAAAAGTTATTCAAGGTTAAAGTGAAATTAACCTTCAATTTAGTCGTTTTCTCGAAAAAACTCCTAGATTTTTGAGTTCAAAGGGCTAAAAACGAATCGAAATATTGTTTTTGAGCTCTGGAAATTCGGAAAAACATAATTATCAATATTACGATCTCGAAAATAGATAAATAGAACCGCTTGCCTTTTGATTAACATCATAAAAAATTGGAAAAAAATAACCCTGCAAGCTTTGAACTAAAAAATCCAGGAGTTTTTTCGAGAAAACGACTAAATTGACGGTTAATTTCACTTTAACCTTGAATAACTTTTAACCAAGTTAACTTACCTAAAAATGACTCAAGACTTTTTTGTAGAGCGTTCAATTCTCTAAAAAAATATTTCAAAATTTATTAAATGAGTTAAAAAAGTTAAAAACCCAAAAATTTATCAAAAAATTTATCAAAAAATCATAAGAAACCTTTTTTGTAGAGCGTTCAATTCTCTACAAAAATATGTCAAGAACTTTACAATACGACCTATTGTTCGTTAGTTACAAAAATAAAAAGAAACAAAAATAATTTTTCCTATGTTATTCTTATGGAAAATCGAAAAGTGCGATGCGGAGCATCTTAATTTTAAAATTAAGAGCTCATTTTTTTACAGGCTCAATTTTACATCTATACGAAAATTTTGAGCGAGGTTCCGAGAAAAAAACAAAAAAAAGGTTTTTTTAAACCACCCTAGTGAAGAGGATGGACTACTGATAAGCTAGCCGCGGAGGCCATTTATTTAACTGAAACTGTTTTCCATAAATAATCGGAATGTGTTCTTTGTTGAATAAGGTAATAATCATTTAATAGTATTTAGTTACGAGTTTTATTAGGCACGAGCGAAGCTTGCGAGCGAGTGTTTAATAAAAACGAGTGTCTGAAGAAGTTTATAAAACGAGTCTACGACGAACAAAAAAAAGAATTTAAAGCCAATTTTATTTGTTTAAAACTTGACGTGACATGTCAAATTAACACATTGTGTTAACTTTCAACGGATTTAACCTTACTTTTTCCCAATTTATAATAAAGCTAACTTCAGCCCGTGACTAAAATGCTCAAAAGCCACTGTTGATAAATTCAGCCCATAACTAAAACGCCATAAAGTCACAGCTTATCAATGTGTAATTCTTATCATTAGTTATTAGCTTATATTATAAATTAATTGTAAAATATCATAGAACACTGGATAAGTAATAGTACTTAAATTGATTTTATTATAGAAATAAAAAGTTTTTCAATGAAAAAAAAATAGATAGAAAAGTCAGCCCCCTTTGGTAAAAGTGGCATTAATTGCAAAATTAATTAATTAATTTAATAAAAAAAATAAAAATGACGAACTTGAAAAATTGATTATTTTTACGTATCGTTTAGTCAAATTTTAATAAAGTTATGGGTATTTGAAAAATACTCATTTTTTTTAAATTCAACTATTTTTTGGTTGGATAAAAAAATGTGTACTGCTGACAGTAGAATTATTATCTAAGTAACGTGTGTCCAAATATACTAATAAATATTTACAAAACTCGAAATTTAAAACGTCCTTACCTTCTGCTGTAAAATTTTTCATTTTGGTGCATACGCCCATCTGCTTTGATGTCCTCGATGTCCAACCAATACTAATACGCCTACCGTATTTTTACGGTAAAAGTATACAGACCGGGTGCATCCGAACATTTAAAGTAGCTGTCACGTACGTTATAGGCAATGATATATTATTTAAATTTAAAAAACTCGACAACGCTGTTTTCCTAAGCTAAACCTCTAAATGGAAACAAAATAAACAACGTATCTGCTGCTGCAAATTTTTTGTAATGTTACCTACCCAAGTAATAATTTTTATGTAGAAATCGTAAAACTGGCATTTTAAATTGTGATTTCAAGACAAGCTTTATAAACAATACATTTTTAAAGTTTTTTTTTCTATTTAGAGCTACATTTAAATACGTTTTTTGTTAATTTATTTTTAAATTTAGAAAAGCCGGGATGAAGACCGAAAGTCTAAAACTGCATATGACAATTTTTTTAACATGGAGAATAAAAGGAAAGAAATTAACGAAATAAACAAAAGGAGTAGAGTAAAAAGCCAGATAAGCCAGTGGAAAAAAGAATGTGAAAAAATCGATAAAGCACAAAAAATAAAGGATAAACAACCAAAAAAACCCAAGTGAGTACTTAATTGAGACAATCTATTCATATAAACAACTTGACATAATATTGCCAAGTTGCATGAATGACAAGTTATCTCAATTAAACTTAATGCTCTGCAGGCAAACTGGTGTAAATAAGAAAATCAAGCAATATCAACAAAAAGACGAAGAATTTATACTGAAAATGCAAAAAGCAAAGAAAAATATAAAAGTTATAAAAGAGGTAAACTCACCCAAAAATAAAATTGAGGTCAAAAAAGATTCCCAAAGAATCCATAAAATGACTAAACAATGGTTAAACAGAATCAAGGACAAAGAACCACGTTATAAACCATCTAAGGAAATTAAGGCCGTACAAAAATTGTAAGTAAACTTGTGTGATTTTATGGTTTTCAATCAAGTTTTTCCAGTTGTGATAATGTAAATAGAATACTTATTGCTAAATCTAATGCGGAAAAGCTGAAGCAACCCAGTTTTAAAAGTCATATAGTCAGATTAACTTAATTAAATAAATCATACATTTTGTAAGTTTTTTCCCTATTACAATATTGATTTTAGAATATATTATTTTAGGAAAACACCTGATTGGAGAAAGGCTGATGGATAACTAAATAAATGATTTTTGAAGTTTTGTAATGTTAAAATAGTTTGGTTTTATATTACAATTTTGTAGAATAAATGTTTTTTATTTTAATTAAAACATTGAGATTTAAAATAAATGATATACGTTTATTTTTAAATTTTTAGCAGTACTTTATATTACTTATAAATGACTAGACCTAAATAAACTAAGGTAAAGAGTAAAGCAATAATATCATTGTATGCATAAAAATTGTTGTATAAAAAAGTGTGGCAAGTATAAAAATGGTTTGTAAAAAATCCTAGGTAACCTACCTATAGGTCTTTGGAATTTTAGCCTATACAGGGTGTCTGAAAACAATAAGAAAAAACTTTCATGTTACTTTTAAATATAAATGATAAAAAATGCTTTTATAAATATGCTCTTTTCCTCTTTAAGGATTTTGAATGTTAAATTTTATTTTAAAAATATGGATAAAAATCAAAATTATAAGACAATTTAAACGCTCAGATATTTAATTTTCCAATTAAAACCTATTTCAGGACACCCTGTATATGCACAAAGGTTAGTTAAGATTTTTTGTGTTAACAAATCTTGACTATGCGTTGTGCATGCAGCCATTAGTGATGCTATAAACGTATAAATTAAAAATTATTTGTTTAAAAGAGGTCTTTCAGATGCTGGATATTCGGTATCATCAAATTGTCTTAGATGAATCTAAAAAAAATATTTATTATATTATTTTTGTTATTTTTATTTAAATCCTCTACCTGAAGATGTAAATTGACTTCACTACACCTACTCAAAAATGGGAAATTACCGCCAGATTTTAGGTGGGCTAATTTGGCATTTGGATAACATTTATATAACTCTTCCCTTACAGAATTGGATAGTGCATATTCATCAAAAACATCCATTATTGTTATTGGAATTTCTGATAACTTGTGAGCCTCAACATAACCTTTTAGACAATTTAAGGTTAATCTACTGGCCAGTTCTGTCTGCGGAAGACTTTCTAACTAAAATAATATATTATGATTTTTCGAGGTGACTACAGGCTTGTTAGAGAGATTTTCATAAAAATGCCGACGTTTGAAAAATGTTAAGAAATACATAATTTTTCAAAATAAAAACGCATTGATATTTATTAACTTTGTTCATTGCGCTAGATAGCACTATATGTCTAGGAATGACAGGTACATATATATTTTTACATCACAATTCCACGAATAAGTAGGAATTGAGCTTTTAGTGGCAAAAAGAGAGTTTTGCAACTGATTATAGGAAAACAAAATATTGAGTTAATTTTATACGGAAAATACACTGTGAGACAAAGTTACCCGAAACCAGGAGGTAACTTTGCACACCGTTTTTAATTTGTATTTTTGAAACTCAGCCCTACATAATATTATAACATAGTTATTATGAAAGACTTAAATTTTGGTATACAATATTTAATGTTTATGATTGATTGTTAAAAGCACAAAATTTCTAAGCTTAAGTTTGAAAGTGAGCTAAAGCCACCCGTATTTACGGTACTCATGTAATGATCACGATTTTAGTAGTTATCTTGTCCGTGAGAGTAAAAATGCTCGTTAGGAACAAACCTTACATTTTACTGGTTAATGGATTAAAATAATGTTTATTGATTTTTGTGCTTTGATATTTACCCTTTCCACCATAAAATCTATGGCTTCTATCATGTCTGGGTCGACTTTTTCTGAAGCAAAATTTCCCATAATCATCCTTTTTAAAACTAGAGCAGGTAAAATCCAATATAAAGCTGCAGATTCGTGATTGTTAAAAATCGCTGTATCGGAAAATGTGTTACATAAAACAAGCGAAGCTACTCTTGGGCAATTTACAGTGTGTTCTGCAAATTTTTGAGCCAGATATCCTCCTAAAAAATAGTTAAAATCTGACAAAAATAGCAAAGGATTTTTCATTAAAAGCTTTTTTAGGGTGTTTGTTGTAAAAAAAAATATCTGGAAGGTAAAATTCTTGTGGTCTTTTCAGTCTATTGAATAGTATATATCAATAATCTTTTATTATAAACTGTTATTTTATTATAAATTTAGTTAACTGTATTTAAAAAGTTTTAAGAGGTTTGGAAAATGAAGATGAAAAATCATCAAGAATAAATTTTAAAAATTAAATTATAGGTACAGTAACTATAATTTATCTACGCCAGTGAGATAAGAACTTCTTATCCCACTCATTTTGAGTGAGATAAGAAGTTCATTAACGCACGCGTTTTTCTCTGCTTTTAACCAATCAAATAAAAAAGTCAAAATGTCAAAATAACCCTAAATTAAGTCTTAGACAAAAATAATTACCGTTTATTTTTTCATTTAGAGGCGTAGATAAAAATTTGTACAATATACGTGTGATAACGCTTTATTAACGTACTTTTGCGATTGCCCAACTCGTGCTACGCACTCGTTGGGCAAATTTCGAATGCGTACGTTAATAAAGCTCTTATCCCACTTATATTGTAAATAAGTATTAATTTCTTAGAAAATTATTCTTGATGATTTTTCCATGCTCATAGGTAGGTACCTACCTATATATTTTCTCTTAATTAATCAATCCGGGGACATACTGTATGTTAGAAAGAAAAAACTAACTAAAAGTCACATGTCATAATGGCATAGTTGCTTAGAAAATGAATCTTTTCATTGGCAAGGTAAAACTCGAATGTAAAGTGACATTTCTGTGTGAAAAGTGACAGGTCTGTGTGAAAAGAAATTGACAGCATCGTAATTTTAACAGCTGTCAAATACGCTTTTAGATTATTTTTTAATACAAAAAAAATAATCTACGAGTAGAAAAAACATTTTATTTCACTTGTGAGAAAAGCTTTCTTCAAGCTCGTGTTAATGCATACTCGGCCTGACGGCCTCGTGAGCAGAGCTGGCCAAGTACTGAGTACTTTTACTCGTATTTCAATTACGAGTAAAAAAGTACGAGTACTTTTTTACTCATAAGTATTTTTCATTTGAAATACTTATTACTCATACTTACAACCCAAATTCAATGTACTCGTAAAAAATACTCGTGGAATTCACGAGTAATATATACGAGTATTTCCGTTTATAATATCGATGATTTTTTGCCAAAATATCGTAAGCATCAAAACATTTTGTTTGGAAGTCTGTTTTAAATTATATAATATATAGCTATATACCTATAGGCTATAATAAATTATATTATACTAGTATAATATAATTTATTATAGCCTATAGGTAAAATTATAAACTATTTAAGAATTGTTATAATGTTTAAAATAAATAATTTTATAAATTTGTATTTGCATAGCTCAGGACCAAAGTACATATGTATAATGTATACCTACTTTCTAAAAATGAATTAGTCGAAAATTACTAATTACTACAGTTATTATTGGAAATTAGTAAAAAATTTTTACATAGTAGTTCAAAATACCTTTAAAAATTATGAAAGTGGAGCAGTTTTTTGATATAGTCAATTCCATATTGTATGGAAAATGGACTATATCTCAAAAACTTTACTACTTTTCTAACTTTTGACGACATTTTCGGATTCAGGGAACAATTTTATATGGAAATTGACTGCAAAATGTTAAAAATACAAATTGCTATTGGCTAGAATTATTAGTGGCTGCTTTTTCGCTATGACAATTATTCATTTTTGACTAATCCATTTTAAGAGAGTAAAGAATAATCAATTATATTAACTAAAATGTTTTCTTCAAAAGTACTCGTACACTTAACTCGTGTTTTCACGATTACTACTCGAAACCGTAACCTCTCTTTACAAATACTAACGAGTAAATTACTTACGAGTAAATATTTTAAGTAGTAAGTACTTAAAATTTTACGATTACATTTTTTAGTACTCGTGCCCAGCTCTGCTCGTGAGCAACTTAAACACTCGCCTGAAAAAGTCGCTTTTCAACACTTGTAAAACAAATAACCGTTTTACTAACTTAAAAGAATTTAAGATTTTAAAACCATGGTTATTAAACCTCGTGACGCTAAAAATGATTAAAATTGACCTCTCCCCCTTCCCTGTGACTACCCCCTAAACCCTGCTTAAAATACCCCATAGCTATGGGTCCTATACATACTGATACACCCTATAGGTCTCTAGAGACCCTATTCAAACCGATAGATATTTGTATCGGAATGTATGGTGTTTCTATAGGGTGTATCAGTATGTATAGGACCCACAGTTTGAATTTACAGTTGTTCTATAGGGATATTCACTCTTGATTTATTTGATATTGGTTTTAATGGGAAAAATACACATAAATGTAGAAATTAGTTTTTCCCCCATAGAACCCTATAGGTTTTAATAAAATTTTGACAAATATTTTATGGTTGCTCTATAGGGATATCCCTATATATCCTTCATTGAGTTATTTGCTATCAGTCTCAATAGGGAAAATGTAAAAGTTATGGTGTGCCTATAGGTAATTTCCTATAAATTTTCTATCGGGCCGTATCCGGAAAAAACCATGGACAAATGCACATATTGAATCCGGTAGCGCCCGATAGATTATTTTGTATAGGTCTCTATGGGGTATTTTAAGCAGGGAAACGTTTATATATGTTTATGTTTATATATGTACATATTTTTCCAATTTTTTTTTGTACTTGACATAATAATCTGACTAAAAATTAAACAAATAAGCAATTTCTTTTGATTTCTTTTGCCACGTGACGTTTTAAAAAACCCTCTCACCCATGGAGTGACAAATCATGACTGTCCTTCAAACCCTTCCTCCCCTACCAGCCTCATATGGGATTTACCCAAAAATATGTATTTGTAATGTTTTTTACTAGTACCTCTTTTCAAAAAGCCTTTCCTCTTTGTACTTTAATCCAGGGACATAGGTACTCTATGCATATATAAACATACTATTTTGACTTAAATATTGCTTTAATATTTTAGTAAGTTGATATTCTAATTAGAATTAAAATGATCATTGATTAATTATAGCTCATGAGCTATGAGCATTCTAGATAAATAAGTCCTGACATTTTAAAACAGGGATTCTTAAATAAATACTTCACAATGCTATTTTATATTCAAATATTTTGCAATTTTATAAAGATGGCTTTTAAAAAATTTTGAAAATATTCCAAAATTAATTTTGTAAAAGATAAAACCTTGGGCACCAGCAGAAAGTAATCCAGGGTGGCAAAAAAAATATGTGCAATTTTAAGTATATATATATATATATGTTTAAATATGTTTAAATATTTAAAATTAGTTTTGTAGACATAGTATTTTACAAGGGGCAACTGCCTTCCCTCAACCGAATTGTTTGCAGGTCAGATTATCTTGTATGATTGTAGACCTGCTTTGAAAGGTTACCTAATGCAGATCCAAATATATGAATTTTTTCCAACTCCAAATAATCCAACAGTTTTTTAAATCCCTCACACCATTCCTTAACATTCCAATAAACAGGTGATTCAGCTGATATAACTCTTATTCCTTTAGCCGATAGGGCCAAGGCTTGCTTAAAAAAAATATCAGCTGTCCCAGAAACAGGTGGTAAGCAAAAAAGGGGACATTTTACTTTTTTTGGCCCACAATCGTAAATTCTCCAGCCCTAAAATTCAAATAAAAAATTGATGTTATACACATGTAGAATAAGCAATAAACAATATCTTATCTTAATAAAATTATTTTACCTTAGTATTATCACTATCAACTACAATTCTTCGTAGAGGTACACTACTTCTAAAACTTAGATATTCTTGAGATTGAGACAAATCACTAACATAACTCATATTAAATAATTTAATTTAAATTACAACGAAAAGATTTCGGAAAACAACATAAAATAAAGTTTTACATCAAAATTATCTTACTGCGAGTGTCTAAAGTCACTTAAGTAAACAACCTTATAAAAATTGTTGTCATCTTTGTTAATTTATTACCCTTTTTAAGTATTAAAATGTATATATAAGTTTCTTATATATATATATATCGTAAACTTACAAATAACTATAAACATGTTTAAATATACCAGTATTTACATACATACGTTATCTAAGACACAACATAACCGCAAAACTAAAATGTCAAAATAAAGATAAAAATGAGTAAAAATGAAGAAATACCACCAATTGCTGCTCCTAATTACATCATTAATAAGTATTTCGTTATTTCTAATATACAGACACGAATACAACCGTTTGCACTATGTATTAGAAGTGTTTAACTTTTTTGGACATCCCTGTAATTTCACTGAATTACAACGTTCGGACAATGTTTTGGCTCAACATGATTGGGGCCCAATTCCTGTGTGGCAGGAAACCGAAACTGGATACATTTATTCTGCTTTTATAACTGGGAAAGGTGAGGTTAGGGCTATAGCTTTGCAAAGTGATACAAAGATTGTACCGAGGAACTGTTATTTTTGGTTTGAGGAGAAGAAAAAGCCTGTTGTGGGTAAATTTAAATTTTCCAAGGTTACAAATGATGAGGCCGCTGTGTTGAACTCGTATTTTTATAATTGTAACTTGGTTAACATAGAATTGGTGCCATATGCAATATCTTTTAGTTTTAAGAGTAAACGAGAGAATGATATGAAGAAAATTATGTTAACAAATACTTTGGACCATAGTTTGACTATTAATACAACTATATGTGTAACACCATCAATGTACAGCAAGAAACGGTTATTTGAATTTGTGAGTTATCACAAACTAATAGGTTTTGATAATTTTATATTTTACCACAGGGATATCCCTCACAGAATATCAAAATTTATGGCGAATGTAGCCAATAGATTAGACATTAAAGTATCTTTTCTACCATTTAACTACCCTAAAGGAGATAGCCCACAAATACGTTTATTAGTGGAAAATGAATGTAACTTAAGAACCCTAGGACAAACTAAATATGTAGTGACTTTAGAAACAAATGAATACATTGTACCTAGAAACGCTTTAACCATAACATCATTTCTAAGAAATGTAGATGAAGATTCAAAACGCTTTAGTCTCCCTGTACAAAAATTTTGTATTGATAATTTGGACTTAAAAAAACCTATTGCTTTGCAAAGTTTTGATGTCTCTGATGACTATAATTATAACGTAGTCAGATATATTTATAAAAATACTAAAATTGATGATGTAGTTACTACAAATGCCATAGATAAGACTCTAGCTTCAATACATAAGTATGTTAGATGTAGTTTAAGCCCACAAAAATCGCACACGGATAAGACTATGATGAAATTCTACACTGATTTTTATAGAAGTACGCTTGTACAACTTTTAATTCATGATCAAATCTAATTTAAGTTTTTTAATGTTTTTGCCCATATTTGTATGTCTTTACACTCTTGTATATATTTCCTGACATAAATACACTATAGTTTTTTTAATTGGTGTTTTATTTTTATGTGTAAGTAATTTATTCTGGGAATAACTGTTTTTAGTAATTTGAGAGCAATAAACTTTGATTTATTTATTGTTTAAGAATGTAATATAATACGCTAAAGAAGTATCGCTAGTAGCGCCACCATTCGGCTGTTATCCTCGTAAGTACGATTCGTAACAAAAGTAAAACTTTTAATAATCAGCTGTCAGACGCTTATGTTACAAACGAGTGGTTTTGAGAATAAAGCCGGAAAATGTTAAAAAATATCGGAAAAAACCGTGGCTCGGTTTGTTGTGTTGGGTGTATTCGAGAGGAAATCTTGGGTTGAGTTTTTACCGGTTTTCCAATAAACAGTGACACTGTTACAGTGTTATCCTTTTGCTATGGTGTTAATCTGAATGAAGAAATAAATTGCATACAGTAAATATAAATTGTACCTATTATAGATACAATAAATACACATTTTAGTAGTGATTAACGTGAAAAGTGTAAACATTTCAATTCAGTAAAAATCGTTAAACAAATAAGTCGTCCAAATTTAAACAGCATTTAGCATTATTAAAAGCGTTGATTAAGAAAGTCTCCACTCAACGGTAAAATATGTACCTACCTATTATAATATATTATAATATATTATATATGTACCTACCTATTATTATATAATTATATATAATATAATATATTATATATATATATATATATATAATATTATGTTGCCATGAATTCGTAGGTATATTTTGTTGTTTAAAATGCAGTTGTCGGCGTTTTTTTAGAGAACTCAAATATAAAAATGGTTGATTTTAAGGTTATGTTTGTAAAAAAAAATTTTTTTTACGAATTTAAAGTCCAAACTTAAATATAAATTATATTAGGTAAAGTTATCATTAGTTAATTCTGCACCAACAAATGTACTTACCGAATTGACCATATGCAAGGAATGCGGTCGATGTTGCCAATGGTAAAAAAATAAAATTCCCTATTGGGAACATTCAATTATATTACGTTGGCTACACTGAAATTTTGAATTTCCCGCACAAACTGACATACATTCTAGTAGTTCCCAGAGATAAAGAAGGTAGTTCAAATGTTGTATAATAAATTAAGGTGCGAATTTCAAATGTGGAAATTATTATTATTTATTATTATTAAAAAAAAAGGAAATTAATTTAGTTTGTGCAGGAAATTCAAATTTTCAATGTAGCCAACGTAATATAATTGAATGTTCCCAATAGGGAATTTTATTTTTTTACCATTGGCAACATCGACCACATTTCTTGCATATGGTCAATTGGATCCTTTGACAAAACATGAAAATGCAACGATTTAGTTCTTGAATTTTATTTACAATTAAAAACACAAAAATTCACCACGATCCCTTAGATAAAATACACACACCAACGTAACTATAGTTATATATATAAGCATTTAAGCGTTGAGTTTCTTAATCAATGATATAAGGAATACTCAAACGAGCACTAAAAAAGTTTTTTAATTTTTTCCTTGCAACGAAAAACACAAATAACGTGCGCGATTTAGCTCGGCAATTACTTAAACAAAGTTTGTCGAGTAAGACTTCTGCCTTCCCCTCTTTTGTAAAAAAACTACCTATTTATTTAAAAATCATATATAATCTGAGCTTTAAATGTATTGTTGACAATTCTTAAGTTCACGCAATGCTATCGAAACCCACCAGATGGCGCGTGCGTTGCGAAAACCCGATACTTCTTTAGCGTATAGCTATTTGTCGCTCTGAGCCCAGATAGCACAGAGACATCTTAAAGATATCTTAAAGATGTCGGACTCGGACGTTCATGACATCTTTAAGACGTCCAGTTTACGACGTAAGTCATCTTTAAGACGTCTTTAAGATATCTAATGTTACAAAACACACCGTCTTTAAGATGTCTTTTTAACGGCATTATTAAGTCGTGGCTAAACGTCGTTAAGACGTCTTTAAGATGTTAAAGACTACCTATTGAAAACGTTTTGGTTATGCATTGCTACATCGCCAAAACGTTTCTAATGTATTAACTTAATACTATTAAGTAATTAAAATGTAGCTAATAATGCTTTTTAACTTCTAAAAATAACGTATAGGTACTTCTATTTAAAATAAAACAAAAATTAAATTATTACATATTTATTTTTGCCTAAATCGAGTCAAAACTTCTTGGCAAGAAGAAGCCTTCTGTCTGAAGCCCTTCTTAACCAAGCCTGTATGGCAACTTCCACCTCTTTGGTGTCTTTTCCTAGACCTTTTGAGGTTCCTTCGATATTTGGAAGAATCCTGCTCAACTCGCTGCTCAACATCAGACGGCGAGTCACTAGGTATAGTAAAAGTGCAGCACTCACCGTTAGACACTATGGCGGGAGAATGTAAAACATGCTTTTCTATATCTTCTAGTGAGGGTCTTTTTAAATTGGCAGCCCTCTTTGCACGCATATAATATTTATTGAGAGATGTACGCTTCATTTTAAGCACACAAGAAAAAATTTTAAAATTACCTGAATAATTTTCCCTCTTGAGTATATTAAACCACAGCAAATTCACAAAAACAATCCAAATACAGTGTTGTTACAACACTGCACACTGCTTTTACTTGTCACTTAAGTTAAACGTCGAACGAGAACGAAAAACCGCCACGATTAGCTATTTAACCAAATTTGACGTAAGCGGCAAAAATGGCGTCTGATGTTTGCAATATGCATTTATAGTTAGGTACAACTTGTACCGTACAAGGCTCGTACTACGAGCACAATCCACATTGGATTGTGGGTACGAGTTATTTAAGAATTGAAAAGAGGCAGACATATCAGCGCTTGGTGAAATAGAAAAGGAAAGCATAAGGATCTCATGGCGTGACTTATGATTTCATTGCATTATGGGAAATGTGCGGGTAATTTGATTTAAAAACGTTCGTTGGGTTATTTTAAGGTTATTTTGTCTTAATACTTAATTTTTAAAAAACATGTTAGTTTATAATGGTTTATTATAAAATGGATATTATTAATTTGTAGTATCCAAGAAATAAGTATACAATTTTTATATTTTCAATTTATTATTTTAAATAATATTTTATAAATTAAATTTGTATATTGCAAATAATTATGATTGCTCAGCACTCTGGTAAAACTATTTGTAAGTCTGCGGGGTCAGAGTGCTATAATATTAAGTAGGTTAAGAAACATAGAATGTAATTGTAGTATTGTAGGTAATTGCGGCCTGACGCGAGGACGGCTACAGTTACCAAATAAACATTTAGATTAATGAGTTTATCTTATCTTATCATTTTTCCCAACGAACCTTCAAATCAGTAATGAAGAGTGAATAAGTAAACTATAATATATATACAGTAAGAACCCAAATATAACATGGCGATCCTGCCAGGATACATCGTAATGTGCACATAGTTGGTTTAGTGTTAAAAATAAAAGTAGTGAAATATGGGGAACAAAGTGGTAAAGCAAGAAGAGGTGATCATTGCTCAGGCAGGCAACAGTGGAGGAGCTACAGCAACCCTAACCGCCGCCGAAATTGGAGGATTGACAACTGGAAGTATGTTCACCGGTATGGTACTCCTTGCCTTAGGTTTTTGGATCAAAAGATGGATTCAAAGAAGAATGCAGCACACAGCCAGAAAAGAGATGGCCAAGAGCGTTGAGGAGTTAGCCGATTTACGCAAGAAAGTAGATGAGCTTGCAAACAAAGTATAAAGGACAAATTGTAAGTGTTAGTTTTAGCAATTTATATTATATTTGTTGGTTATTTTATGGATTTAGTATTAAATGTTTAGGTGTTAAAATATATAATAATTTACTCAGTAATTTTTTTTAAAGAAAATAGAAATATATTAAATTAATGAGTGCCGCTTATGCTGAGTTTCGATCTATTCATCAAGAGTTAGAACAGTTTTTAGCAAATCTAACTAAAGATAATCAGCAGCGTCGCAAATGCAAAAAGACTACTGCTAGAAAAACAAAAGACATTGATATAATATATGAAAACTTTGACAGTCTTAGAAAAGATTATAATTCGAAAGACCATACATCTGACGATATAGATAAAGTTAAACGAATAGTAACTCTCATTAAAAGTCAAATTGATACAATTCGAAGCATTTTAGATGATAGATCCAAACTTGCAGAAGTGGTAGAATTAAATGATAGTATTAGTCTAAATTTACAACAAATTGTCACCATGTCAGACAAATTTGATATTAAAACAGCAGCTACCCTAGTTCCAAGTATGGACGGTACGGAAGCGACTGTTAAAAAGCTTATTGATGCCATTAAGTTTTATGATGCCTTGCTCAATGATGCTGGTAAAGTTTTTCTAACGGACTATGTCCTAAAAACCAGATTGTCAGATAGTGCGAAATTAAGGTTAAAATCTAGTTACGGCTCGAATACAGCATTAATTGCGGACATTAACAAAAATTTGCTATCCAAAAAATCCGCGACTTCACTTTCAGTTCAGTTAGGTAACGTAAAACAGGGAAATAGATCGATAGAAAGTTACGGGAAAAGCGTTGAGGAATTGTTAATAAATTTAACTATTTCGCAAGCCGAGAATGACGATGCGGCTCTTTCAGTATTACAACGTACAAACGAAAAAATAGCGATAAATTCCTTTACAAATGGTCTAAATAATAGCTCGTTGCGAACCATCATACAGGCACGAAATTATGATAATTTAACTGAGGCCATTTGTGGTGCTCAGGATGCGAATGTGCAGCAAAGGGAGGCTACCCCAGTTTATCATATGCGCGGTCGTTCCTTTATTCGACGCAGTGGTTTTCGAAACAATCAGTCCAGACCTAATAACACTTTTCAAAATTCTTATAACACGAACAATAACCACTCTAATCGCAATAATAATAATAACGGTCAGCGTGGATTTAATCCAAGGAACCGAGGTCAATTTAGAGGAAATCGAAATGCAAACGGTCGAACTATTTTTAATAGCAATAATAATAGAAATCAAAATTTCTC